TTCTGAACTCCACCAATGATGGAATTGAACCAAACTTAGCACACAGAATTCCCATGAGTAACAGAAAATATAGAAGGGTTTGGTGCATTGACTGAGTTTGGGAGTTGTAGTTCACCTACATCCAGAGAGCACTGAGGACTCAAACAATGACGGATCTGGACCAAACTTGGCACAAATACTCAATGTGCCCAACTGTGAACACTGGTGGAGTTTGGGGGAAATAGACCCTGACATTTGGGAGTTGTAGTTTCTGGGATTTATAGTTCACCTACAATCAAAGAGCATGCTGAACCCCACCAACGACAATTGGGGCAAACTTTCCACACAGAACCACTTAAGGTGAAGGGAGTTAGCCATCCAGTTCAACTCCCTTCACCAGGGCAAGAAAACGTAATCAAAGCCCTCTTGACAAAGAGCCATCCAGCCATAGATATAGATAGATATATACGATTCACACACACACAGATATAGTATCATAGATTTGAAAGGGACCCCTAAAGAAGGACAATTATATGTTGCATGTTCCAGAGTAGGCAAACCAGACAATCTCCACATCAACACTGACAAAGAAACAACAAGAAATACTGTTTACCCACAAGCATAAAGAAATTACATATATTAGAAACCATTACTTTATTTGCCAGATCACCAGACTGGGCCACAGCAACGCGTGGCAGGGAACGGCTAGTAGCTATTATAAAAATCTTTATTTATACCCTGCCACCATCTCCCCAATGGGGACTCGGGGCGGCTTACATGAGGCCAAGCCCAGACAACATATTACAGCAAAAAACAAACAAACAAACAAACAACATAAGCAACAAGCAACAACATCATAATTACATAAAACATATGAATACATTAACAATATAGCATTACAATAAACACAATCACAGTGACAGTGGGCAGGCCACATGTGCAGGATAAAATGTAGGGCTCAGATGAGATAAGGAGAGGAGGAAGTTATTTGCAAGGGGGAGCTCATAAAAAACACAGGATTGTGGAACCAAACTTTCCCATGGGGGGGGGGGCGTGTACTCCAGTGACAAAAGCATTGAGGGGAGCAGTAGTGTCATCTTGTGCACCTACTCACCAAAGGCACAGCAGAAGAGCCAGGTTTTAAGGTTCTCATCTTCTCTGAGTAGAGTCATGAAAGGTAAGAGCTTAGTCTGCGGCAGGAAAATGGCAGCTGGCCCCTAATACAACATTAGCGGTTTCCCCTCTCTGTAGAATGACCCTCAACTTACCCACGGATAATATCAAAATCCACGTCTTTGACCCCCAAACCTGCCCTTGACTTTTACATGAGTATATTGATAACTTTGAAATGATACATTTATGTTGAAAATTGGTACAGGTACCCAAATGAAGTATGTCGTAGGAACCTTTGTGATCAACTCAGTCTCATGTACATAATAAAACAACCTTATTTCTCTACCATCTTCCACTGAATCTTGGTGATACCCAACAATTAAGATTTTTAATTTACTATGAAACTCAGCAGAACTCATATATGTAGGATACAGTTAATTCTCTATTCTAAAAACAAAGCCAAATCTAAGAATATGTCATTTGTAAAGCTTTCAAGATACTGTTATTACTAAGTACTAGCCGTCCCCTGCCACGCGTTGCTGTGGCCCACATGGGGGTTCTGTGTGGGAGGTTTGGCCCAATTCTATCGTTGGTGGGGTTCAGAATGCTCTGAAATTGTAGGTGAACTATAAATCCCAGCAACTACAACTCCCAAATGACAAAATCATTTTTTGAGTGAAGGACATACATTGGGTTGTTAGGTGTCTTGTGTCCAAATTTGGTGCCAATTCGTCCAGTGGTTTTTGAGTTCTGTTAATCCCACAAACGAACATTACATTTTATTTATATAGATGAAGATAAAATGAGTTGGATCTTCAGGAAACACCTGGAAGAAGGGTTTTTTAAAAAATAAAATAAAGTGTTACATTCCTGTTTAGTATGCTGTCCAAATTCATTTCCACCACCACCACCCCCCAAAAAGTCAGAGGACATGTAATATCATTTCAACAGGAAACCACTTTCACGCTCACAAAGAACATGTTTCGGAGTGTCACTTGTATGTAATTGTTTATGACACTTATCAACAGGAAAAATATTCATCCTCTGTATGTTTCCATAACAACAGGCAACAACTGTAATTTTAATGTAATATTTTTCAAAAGAAAACCATTCTGCTTTGGGTGAGATTACAGCAATTAATGTTGAATGACAAATCGAGCTGATGAATTTTAAGCACAGGGTCAAATTACCGGTTTACATACTATTTTGCAATGTCAAAATCAAATGGATTGTGCCAGCTGTGGCTGTACCTCAAGAAGTCTGACTTGACCATGGTGGTCCACACTTTAGTTACCTCAAGATTGGACTACTGTAATGCACTCTACGTAGGGCTGCCCTTGAAGACGGTTCGGAAACTGGTGCAAAGATCGGCAGCCAGATTGTTAACTGGAACAAATTACAGGGAGTGGTCAACCCTTTTGTTTAAATAGCTCCACTGGCTGCCGATAAGTTTTTGGTCCCAATTCAAGGTGCAGGTTATTACCCATAAAGCTCTAAACCAGTGGTTCTCAACCTGGGGTCCCCAGATGTTTTTGGCCTTCAACTCCCAGAAATCCTAACAGCTGGTAAATGGACTGGGATTTCTGGGAGTTGTAGGCCAAAAACTTCTGAGGACCCCAGGTTGAGAACCACTGCTCTAAATGGTTTAGAGCTATCTACGCACCGCCTCCTCCCTTATGAGCCCCACATGATCCTTAAGATCTTCCAGGGATGCTCTTCTCTCAATCCCGTCCCTGTCTCAGGTGCGGCTGGTAGGAACGAGAGAAAGGGCATTCTTGGTGGTGGCCCCCGTCTCTGGAATTCTCTCCCCAGGGAGATTAGGCTGGCACCCTCCCTAGCCACACTCCACAAGGAATTAAAGACGTGGATGTTTTGTCGTGCTTTCGATCGACGACTCCTATGACAAACGACCTTTATCGTGATCTGAGTCATCATTTAATCTTAATTCCTATATTCCATTACTATTCATATTTTGTAAGTTAAACTGAATTTATTTATTTATTTTGGGCATTTCTACCCCGCCCTTCTCACCCCCTGGGGGGGGGGGGACGACTCAGGGCGGCTTACATCCGGCACAATTAGATGCCAACAATTACAATAAAAATGCAAATAACAATAAACACAATAGTTAAAAACATACCATTAATACAATATCAACTAAAAAAGCCGATCTACAGCCTGCATTTATCGAGTTCTAAAATCCATCAATCCATTTAGCATTACCATAATCCTTTCCAACTCTAGACATCATTACCCAAATGCCTGGTCCCATATCTATGTCTTCAGCTTCCTTCTGAAGGAGAGGAGAGATGTTGACGACCTGATTTCCCCGGGGAGTGAATTCCACAGGCGAGGGGCCACCATTGAGAAGGCCCTGTCCCTCATCCCCACCAGCCTCACTTGTGATAAAGGTGGGGCCGAGAGCAGGGCCTCCCCAGAAGATCTTAAACTCTGCAGTGGGACATAGAAGGAGATACGTTCGGACAGGTACGCTGGGCCGGCGCTGTATAGGGTTTTATAGGTCAAAACCGGCACTTTGAATTGTGCTCGGAACTGGATCGGCAGCCAGTGGAGCTGACATATTGATTCTGATCCTGTTAAATTGTTGTTTTCATGATATTTCCTATGTTATTATACGTTTCTATCCATCTTATTGAACCATTTACGCTTTAATCAGTTTTATGCGATTTTAAATTGTAATTTGTTATTGTTCTGCTTTTAATTGTATGTTGCTTGGGCTTGGCTCCATGTAAGCCGCCCCGAGTCCCCTCGGGGAGATGGAGGCGGGGTAAAAAAATAAAGTTGTTGTTGTTGTTCTTGTTCTTGTTGTTCTTGTTGTTCTTGTTGTTGTTCTTGTTCTTGTTGTTCTTGTTGTTCTTGTTGTTGTTCTTCTTCTTCTTGTTTTTCTTGTTGTTCTTCTTCTTGTTGTTGTTGTTCTTCTGCTTAACCTCCACACGAACGAGAGCACATTATGTAGAAATCCCATATAGAATCATAGAATCAAAGAGTTGGAAGAGACCTCATGGGCCATCCAGTCCAACCCCCTGCCAAGAAGCAGGAATATTGCATTCAAATCACCCCTGACAGATGGCCATCCAGCCTCTGTTTAAAAGCTTCCAAAGAAGGAGCCTCCACCACACTCCGGGTCAGAGAGTTCCACTGCTGAACGGCTCTCACAGTCAGGAAGTTCTTCCTCATGTTCAGATGGAATCTCCTCTCTTGTAGTTTGAAGCCATTGTTCCGCATCCTAGTCTCCAGGAAGCAGAAAACAAGCTTGCTCCCTCCTCCCTGTGGCTTCCTCTCACATATTTATACATGGCTATCATATCTCCTCTCAGCCTTCTCTTCTTCAGGCTAAACATGCCCAGCTCCTTAAGCCGCTCCTCATAGGGCTTTTTCTCCAGACCCTTGATCATTTTAGTCGCCCTCCTCTGGACACATTCCAGCTTGTCAATATCTCTCTTGAATTGTGGTGCCCAGAATTGGACACAATATTCCAGATGTGGTCTAACCAAAGCAGAATAGAGGGGTAGCATTGCTTCCTTAGATCTAGACACTATGCTCCTATTGATGCAGGCCAAAATCCCATTGGCTTTTTTTGCCGCCACATCACATTGTTGGCTCATGTTTAACTTGTTGTCCACAAGGACTCCAAGATCTTTTTCACACGTACTACTCTCGAGCCAGGCGTCACCCATTCTGTATCTTTGCATTTCATTTTTTCTAACATTAATATTAACATTAATATTAATATTAACTAACATTAATATTAACAGTTGGTGCAAATATCTAGCACATTTTATAAAAATCTAACTCTTGAAGTGTTTTTGTTCTTGTTATTTTATAAGATAAATTAAAGTAGAGTGAATATTGTACTAACTTTATTGTCCTCTCTTTCTCCTATCCAGTTATGCATCTTCTTCAAGGAGACTGTTCCAATTATTTTGCAGCAGGGAAACGGCATAATGGAATTTACAAAATCATTCCCGATCCCAGAAATGGGAGCTTTGACGTGTATTGTGAAATGGAATCAATGGGAGGTGGATGGACAGTAATCCAGATGCGTCAGGATGGCAGCGTTAACTTTAACAGAACATGGAAGGAATATAAGAATGGCTTTGGAAACCTCAGTAGAGAATTCTGGCTGGGAAATGACAAAATTCACCTTCTGACCAAAAGCAAGGATATGCAGTTGAGAATTGAGCTCGAAGATTTCAATGGAATTAGAGAATATGCAAAATATGACCAGTTTTATGTAGCCAATGAGTTTCTCAAATACCGTCTAAGCATTGGCAGCTTCAGCGGCACAGCGGGTGACGCTCTGCACTTCAACAAACATTACAACCACGATCAAAAGTTCTTCACCACCCCGGATAAAGACAACGACCGGTATCCATCTGGCAACTGTGGGGCATACTACAGCTCTGGATGGTGGTTTGATGCATGTTTGGCTGCCAACCTAAATGGCAAATATTATCATAAAAAATACAAAGGTGTTCGCAATGGGATTTTCTGGGGCACTTGGCCAGGAGCTTCCGATGATAATATAAATAGTTACCGAATACCTTTTAAAAAGGTTAAAATGATGATCAGACCCAAAAACTATGCTCCATGAATAAATTTGAAAACCCAGTACTGGCACTTTTCCCCTCAGTAGTTGGGTAACTGGGGTGTATTTTTCATGTTCAAATTTTGAATGTACAGGCATCAATTTCTACTTTTTTAAAAACAAAAAAGGCTAAAATCCCTGGTGACATATGCAAATATAACTTCTGGTTACAACCTGTGCACACACACATATATGTATGTATATGTATTTGGATATCGTGGAAGGACGTACAGTGTACCTCCTTCTACAATACTTCTCAGCTACTGAATGGCTGCTAGGAATGCCTAGTCGGACTCCGATTGCTATCATGTACCCAGGAAAGAAAATTTCTTTGACATTAAGCACCATAAATATTTTAATCTGGGCTCTGCTAAATGTTACTGAAGTTACATTTCTGATTACCTTTCTACTTCATATATAACATTAATGTAATATTAAGCCTCTTAGAACTATTAATAAAGCAAATTGACTGGATCTACATTAAGCCAGATTAAACAGCACCATCTGAAATGAATGGAACATATTGGTCATGATTTGTCTTAAATCTCATTGATTAAAATGGCAAAGAACAACTGATTCAGTCTGTGTCCAGATCACAGTAGAGAATGTTCTTTGTATCCAAAATGTGAAGGTCTGAAATAACAATATAATCATTCAGCAAGGTTTCAGAGGAGCCCCAGGGCTTTCAGTCCTATGTTCCACTTATGCCAGCAACCCCTATACAAGGCTAAAGTGTCATAGAATCATAGAATCAAAGAGTTGGAAGAGACCTCATGGGCCATCCAGTCCAACCCCCTGCCAAGAAGCAGGAATATTGCAATCAAACCACCCCTGACAGATGGCCATCCAGCCTCTGTTTAAAAACTTCCAAAGAAGGAGCCTCCACCACACTCCACTACACTCCGGGGTAGAGAGTTCCACTGCTGAACGGCTCTCACAGTCAGGAAGTTCTTCCTCATGTTCAGATGGAATCTCCTTTCTTGTAGTTTGAAACCATTGTTCCGTGTCCTAGTCTCCAGGGAAGCAGAAAACAAGCTTGCTCCCTCCTCCCTGTGGCTTCCTCTCACATATTTATACATGGCTATCATATCTCCTCTCAGCCTTCTCTTCTTCAGGCTAAACATGCCCAGCTCCTTAAGCCGCTCCTCATAGGGCTTGTTCTCCAGACCCTTGATCATTTTAGTCGCCTTCCTCTGACATGATCATAATACTATGCTCTCCTACAAGCAAGGGTGGAGGCTATAGATAGGCACAAATTTGCAAAACCAACAGATAAACTTAGCTCTTCTGCTAACTACATTATAGATACCTACAGTTGGACTACACAGTGATAATATTCCCACACTAGCACTGCATGGAAAGCAATATTCAATCACTATGCCAGAGATGACACAAATGCCAAAACTTCTCATTGGATACAAGTCGCAAATAGAATTTCACCCCATGTCTTTATGTCAGATAGCTCCATAGCCCTGTGTGTAGGACCTGAAGGATCCTCTTGTACCTACACCTACTTAACACCTAATCGTACCGATGATTGTACTATTTCTGTAAGAAAATAACTTATGTCTCTTTACAAAAGCTTTCACTTGCAACACAGTGAGGCAGGATATAAATATAGTAAATAAACTTCAAAGCTAGTTGGTATACAGGCATAACTTACCACATACACACCAGCATGTAGCTGCTGACTGTGCATTTCCAAAAATGCTATGGTATGTCAGCACAAACCAGGATCTTGGCCATTATTTAATACCTAGAGCAGTGTTTCTCACCCTGGGGGTTGGGACCCCTGGGGAGGGGTCACAAGGGGATGTCAGAGGGGTCGCCAAAGACCATCAGAAAACACAGTATTTTCTGTTTTCTGTGGGAAATTTGGCCCAATTCTATCATTGCTGGGGTTCAGAATGCTCTTTGGTTGTTGGTGAACTATAAATCCAAGCAACTACAATTCCCAAATGTCAAGGTCCAATTTCCCCCAAACTCCACCAGTGCTCACATTTGGGCATATTGAGTATTCATGCCAAGTTTGGTCCAGATCCATCATTGTTTGAGTCCACAATGCTCTCTGGATGTAGGTAGCACCGGGATTGTGGCACAGCTGGCTGAGTGTCAGCTGCATTAAGATCACTCTGACCAAAAGGTCATGAGTTTGAAGCCAGCCCGGGTTGGAGTGGGTTTCCAACCAATTGTGTAGCCTGTTGTCGACCTTTGCAACCCGAAAGACAGTTGCATCTGTCAAGTAGGAAAATTAGGTACCACCTTAAAGTGTGGGGAGGCTAAATTAACTAATTTATGAGGCCATAAAAAGACTCCAGCAAGCACTCCAGCAAAAAGCATGCGGGGAATGCGGAAGTACTTCATCAGTGTCGCAGATGGACGATGAAAGCGACAGCTCCCCTGGTGGCCATAAAAAGTTAAATAGCCTCTGTCTATGTCTGTATATGGTGTATGTCAAAATTGGCATTGAATGTTTGCCATATATGTGTACACTGTAATCCCCTGAGTCCCCTGCGGGGTGAGAAGGGCAGAATATAAAAGCTGTAAATAAATAAATAAAAAATAAATCCAAAACTCAAGGTCAAAGTCCATCAAACCCTTCCAGTATTTTCTGTTGATCATGGGAGTTCTGCGTGCCAAGTTTGGTTCAATTCCATTACTGGTGGAGTTCAGATTGCTCTTTTATTGGAGATTAACTATAAATCCCAGCAACTACAACTTCCAAATGACAAAATCAACCCCCTCCCCCAACCACACCAGTATTCATATTTGGACGTATTGGGTATTTCTGCCAAATTTGGTCCAGTGAATAAAAATAAAAATACAATTGACATTACGATTCATAGCAGTAGCAAAATTACAGTTATGAAGTAGTGATGAGAATAATTTTATGGTCGGGGGTCACCACAAAATGAGGAACTGTATTAAGGGGTCGCGGCATTAGGAAGGTTGAGAACCACTGACCTAGAGTCACTATCAGTCTACACAGCTATAGAACTATTGTTAACTAGAATTATAATATTTTATGGAATTCTAGGGTTTGTAATTTAGTAAGGACCAAGAGCTCTCCAGCTAAGAATGCTCAATGTGCCTCCCCCAAACTGTAAATCCCAGGATTCTATATAATGTTGCCTTGGAATCAAAGCACTATACAGTACAGTGCAGAGTTTCTCAGGGTTTCTCAAAATGTGCTCCCCCAGATGTTTTGGATCTTAGCACCCACAATTCCTGACAGCTGCGAAACTTTCAAAACAACTCTTACGCAAAAATAAATAAATAGAGGATTTCACTTTTACAAAGATACAAATATTAGATTATCCTTAGGCTCCATCTGAGCTTTGAACAGTAAATCATTTGTGCCTTAAAAGCAACCAATGTGTGTTTTCAGTCCTAAAGCCCAGTTATTCCTACTTTAGAATTTCTACACTGAAGGTATTCATTACTTTTCATTCTCTCATAATAGTAGTGAGCAGAGAACAGCAAAACAGTTACATAACATAAACCAGATTTCATTTGATTTTACTAATTTTAACACACTAGGATTTAATATGTTAACATATTAAAGAGCTTAAAGGACAGTACTGTTACATTTAATAGGCAAACCTATATGATGTCATACTTCAATTTCTTTCCCAGCTTCATGGAGTGCTAACTGAACTTAAAATCTCAAAAATCCTACATAAGGTAATTTTGATGTAAGTGAATTTGTTTCTTCAGAAACAATGTTTAAAGATGAAGGGCCAACACCTGTATAAGTGTATCTGTTTCTGGACTTAAAAAAAAATAGCTGTCAGCAACAGGATGAACTTTTAAGAGATACTTATTAATGCCACTAGCCATCCTCTGCCACGCGTTGCTGTGGCCCACTCTGGTGGTCATGGGGGTTCTGTGTGGGGGGTTTGGCCCAATTCTGTCGTTGGTGGGGTTCAGAATGCTCTGTGATTGTAGGTGAACTACAAATCCCAGGACTACATCCCAAATGTCAAGATTCTATTTTCCCCAAACTCCACCAGTGCTCACATTTGGGCATATTGAGTATTCGTGTAGAGTTTGGTCCAGATCTATAATTGTTTGAGTCCACAGTGATCTCGGGATGTAGGTGAACTACAACTCCAAAACCAAAGGACACTGCCCACTAAACCCTTCCAGTATTTTCTGTTGGCCATGGGAGAACTGTGTGCCAAGTTTGGTCCAATTCCATCGTTGGTGGGGTTCAGAATGCTCTTTGATTGTAGGTGAACTATAAATCCCAGCAACTACAACTCCGAAATAACAAAATCAATTTTTTTTAGTGAAGGACATACATTGGGTTGTTAGGAGTATTGTGTCCAAATTTGGTGTCAATTCGTCCAGAGGTTTTTGAGTTCTGTTAATCTCACAAACGAACATTACATTTTTATTTATAAAGATATAATTGTGCACAGTAACAGGAGAAGGGGCCGCGTGGTGCAGCGGGTTAAACCACTAAGCTGCAGAACTTGCTGACCAAAAGGTTGGTGGTTTGAATCCATGGGACAGGGTAAGCTCCGGTTGCTAGCCCCAGCTTCTGCCAACCTAGCAGTTCAAAAACATGCAAATGTGAGTACATCAATAGGTACCACTTCAGCGGGAAGGTAATGACGATCCATGCAGTCATACCAGCCACATGTCTATGGACAACGCTGGCTCTCTGGCTTAGAAATGGGCACCACCCCCCAGAATTGGACTCAACTAGACTTAATGTCAAGGGGAAACCTTTACTTTTAACAAAAGAATATATATATATAATTAAACAAGAATATGAAATGTATATTTAAAGTACAAGATATTCAAATATTGTTCATATTTAGAATTTTTATTCCATCTGGTTGCCAAAACTATAATGATGTATATGTATATATGTGTTATTCAAGATGCATTAGTAAGTAGAATTGATCGTATTATGAGATGACCATATTAATATAATTAGTTGGCTCTAATTAAAATGTGTTACTTGCCTAAGCTTTTTCAATATTTTATTGGGATGTTTTTTATTGAGAAAATATTCTTAGTTTTATTGGCTATTGTTTTTGTTTTGCTTTTGTTTAATAAAATACAAATCTGTACAATCCATATATGGCAAGTAATGTTGGTGAAAAGGAAGGGGACAAATGTCTTAAATAAATAAAATGAAATAAGAATAAATTGAGTAGAATATGCTTTGATTTATGATTAAGACTCATACAATGATATGGAAAAACAGATATCAAAATCACCTGCTAACCTAAACAATCACCTTGAGCACATCATTCCCTCTCAGCAGTCATAATTATCTTCTTCAAGGGAGTGTGCACAGGTAAACATAAAAATAGATGTGACATTAGTGTGTGTAGGTCTCTGTGTCAATTAAATGTTCTTTTCTGCTAATTTCCTCTTTGTGAATATTTAAAGCACATTTAAAACATGTTTAATGTATTGTCAAAGGCTTTCATGGCCGGAATCACTGGGCTGTTGTA